ACACGGTCTGCCACCTGCTCCGGCCTCCCGACCTTCCTGATTCCTGCTTCCAGAAGGTTTCCTGGCAGCCGTGGCAGGGCCCTGAGGCTTCGCAGCAGCATGGCTGTGCCCCTGGGAACTCTCGTGGGAATAGTTTTCGGGGACAATGTCATCAAGATACTCAAAAGCTGTGCGCACTTCCCCGTGCTCTGTGAAGTAATCCACCAAGGTCTTCAAAAAGGCGTGGTTGTTAACTGTGTGGGAATCGCAGACAACCGCCACATGGCGCCGTGCACGGGTGATGGCAACGTTGATCCGCCGATCCTCAGCAAGAAAACCAACCTCACCTAAAACAGGGCCAGAATTGAGCAAAGAGAAGCTTTGAGACTGAGAAACTGGGGTCAAGTTCTTGCAGATTAGACAGAGACGTCACAACAGTCTCACGTCCTCCCACTCCCAGCAGCTCAGGACCTCCCAGTGGCCACCTGCACCATGGCCTGCCCTGTACATGCAGCCCGGCTGTGACGCCACGTCTGCCCCACACTGCTACCACGGCTTGTCTGGGGGGGTGTGCTGTGGTACCCAATTGGGTTCTGGTGGCTCTCAGACTGGGCTCATTTCCAGGTAAGCATGGATGCCCCAACTCAGGAGACGGCCAGCCGGAGGCTCACTGCTGGGTATATGACATAAAGTTCATCTCTTCCGTATTCCCACCAAAGCTTATCTCACGTCTTCAACTGTTTCCCAACCCCCTTCTGAAAATGCTTCACTAGGCCCGTTCACTAGCATTACTTTGGGGTATAATACAATATCCTACTGAATGGAAGACCTACAAACCATTGTAAAACCAAAAAACAGCTAGAGGCTAAATTCACCTGAGGCTAAAAGACAAGTTCTGGGTTAGAGGGGGCTCCATCTCCTTCACAGGGTGCCCGGGCCATTCCCAGCCCACTCTGTGTTCCTAGCCTGTCACCCTGAACACCTGCTCCCTGACTGCACACCGGTGCCTCCAAACCTCCGCAGACTCTGTCCCCTGCCTGCACCCTCCACCACCCTCCCTCACTTCCCAGGCTGCCATAGGCTCATCCCACAATGCTCTGCTCAGAGCTCACCCCTCAGGACCACTTCCAGCCCTGCCCCAGGCTGTGCTGCCTTCCTGGGGGCGTCTTGTCAGACCCCTCATTGCACATCACACCTTAGTCTCGTGCACGCAACAAGCGTACTCAAGGACAGTCACTGTGCTCCATCACCACACAGCCAGCAACTAGAGAGGCACCTGGTAGGAATCCGAAATGCCCTCTGGATCTATAAACCCACCCCTGTGCTGTCCCCGAAGGACGCTGACGAGGCTCCGTACCTTTCCTGTTAGACCTGACGAAGGACAGGATCACAGCCTCCTTCTCCCGGCCTTGGAAGCCATCGACGGACTTAATCTCCAGCTGAGGATGCCTGGGCGAGAGGCTCTGTCTGAGCAGGTCCACCTGTAACACCAAGCGAGCCATGGCCTCATCACACCCCAGGTCAGGCAGGCCAATCCCCTGCCCTTTCTCTCAGCAGAGGGCCTCGGGCCACAGAAGGACCTCAGCCCAGGGAGCCCTGCAGGAGTCCCACCAAGAACCATGCAAAAAAAGAGAGAGACACATCCTGTAGCACGCTGGTGTGAGGATGACATCACCACCACTGGTAGCACCATTTCCTTTGGCTTGTGATGGCCACCAGCCTCAGACAACTCAGTACATAATGCCTGTGACCCAGGGAGGGGTGACAACCACTCAATCCTTAAGCAAGTGTGTTTTTCCTTTTTTGTTAGAGAGAAATTTTTGCTATAGGGCATGCGCACTAGCTGGAGAGACAGAGACAAAAAATGAAAAATCACTCCCGGGGGGACAGCCATGCCACAATCCCATCTCCTCCAGTTTCCTCTCAGGATTTTGGGCACGCACATGCACCCAATGAGAGTTTTAAGCCATTGAGTCCAGGACTCAAGCCGCAGTTGACTATGTGGGAGTCCAGCAATGTAGCCATTACGCCATCTGCTATTCCCCCTCTTGTTTCTTCAAACAAATTTTTGCTATAGGGCATGTGCGCTGGCAGAAGAGACAGAGAAAGAAAGCAAGAAATCACCCCCTGTGGGGAGGGCGACACTGTAACCCCTTCTCCTCCATTCTCCTCTTGGGGATTGTGGACATGCACACACACACCCCGTGACAATTTTAAGCTGCTGGGTCCTGGACTCAAACCACAGTCAACTACATGGTAGTCCAGTGACCTAACCATTACACCATCAGCTGGTCTCACAGGGGTGTTTTTCCTAACACACAGGATAGGGACGGAGAGGTGACTTGAGCCAGACCAACAAGACACAAAGCTGAGACACTTGTGGGAAATGCTGTAAAATGACAGGCTGTCCCTAGGGCTGCCTATGGGAGGACAGTGTCAGCTGGAGGTTGTCAGGCCCACAGACCAATAAGGTGACCTGAGAAGATGCTGACACAGGGGAGGCAGGCTGAGAGGGCAGGGGCAGGGGCAGACAGACAAATGGGCTCTTGCTACTGTCATTTGGATCCTGGATCCAGTCACGATGAGGTCAGTGCTATCCCTGGGCCTACAGGTCACAAGACCAAACAAATTACCCCTTTTCTTTTAACCTCTTTGTTGGTTGAGTCCCAAATGACACATACACAAAGAGAGACCAGGGAGGGGGGTCCCTTTCACACCTGGAGGTTGTACGGTGTGATGACAGCTATGTCACTTGCTTGAACACCGGCATCCACCAGGGCCTGGATGTGTAAACCGACGAGGCGGACTTCACCTGGAGGGAAAACAGGGCCCAGGATCTCAGTACAAGGACTCCTAGAGTGACATCTGTCATGAAGTGTTTTCTGTCTATTGTGACAAGCTGGTCCTACACTGTGCCCCAGGTGGCTTTGTGGAGCTAAAATTCTGAGCTGGAAGGCTGCTAGTTTAGCCAAGAACACAGGCTGCCCAGCTAATTTGGATTTGACTAAACAATGCACGCTCTGCCATGTACGCATGGCCATGCGTCCTGTTGAACCAGGCAAGCCCTGTAGGCAGAACCAGGAGGCAGCGAGCTGAGAAGCTTCTCATCACAAGACCAACCAGGCAGAATTAGCCCTGCATTAAGATCAAATGCTGCGCAGGCCCATTGAGACTTTGCTTCATGAGGGCTGCTTGCTCCCCGGGCAGGCTATTGACGTTACTCAGCCTTGGGAGTGTCCCTCTCCAAACCTTGCACATCTCATCAGCAACTTGCTCTTCTCTCTTCTTCCCTCCCTCAGCTCTCCCCTGAATCAGGCAATTTTCAGTGACTTCTGCTTTTAAAGAGGAGCTTTTGTCTGTCTAAACAAAAAATCCAACCCTTTCTAAGCCAGCTCACCAGGGTTCCCTTTCGACTGGTCGTCCTCTTGCTCCAGCTCGAACAGCCCACAGCCAGCAGTGTCCACGAGCAACAAGGGGATGCCTGTCTCCTCCGTGGTGGCCACACCTGGAAGGTCCCTAGCACACAGGTGAAAGCAACACTGAAATCCTGCACACCAAGACTGCCCCTTTCCACAAGGAAGACAGAGGGACTGCCCCAAGGGGGCCAGGGTAAGCAGAAAGAATGATAAATGGTGGGCTGGCAGGCAGTGCAGCGGTTAAGGACACTAGATTCCCACATGGCTGACTGCAGTTCGAGTCCCGAACCTGGCAGCTTGCTTTCTCACTTTTTCTCTCGCCCTCTCACTCTGTCCCTCTCTGGTCAAATTTAAATAAATAAATAAATAGATAGATAAATAAATTTTAAAAAATAAATAAAACAATTCTTAAAAAAAAAAAGAAAGATTGACAGATGAGAGGAGACCAAGTCCAGCTCTCCAGGGCATGGCCCCACACCAGAAAAATCAGTTTTAGAGACGACTTTTACTCTGAAATCCCTACAGAACACATTTCACTTGAGATTGTCACTTCAAAACACGTGACGTAGTGGTGGATCTGCACAAGTACAGGGAGGGTGAAATGGGAATGAGTTGCTCACCTCAGAAGGTGCCCCGCCACCGAAGGGTGGGCGGTGAGCTGCCCATGGTACATGGCTTCTGAGGCCCACTGCATGATGGCCTGGTGCATGCGGTACTGTGTGGTCAGCATCCGCACTGCCTTTGCTCCGTACTCCTCAACCAGGTGCTCCATCAAGCTGAGCGACAGCCCTGCTAGCGCCGCCCTGTGGCCAAGAGAGTAATAGGGAAGAAAAGCCTGAGTCCCAAGTCCAGGTGTGAAAACATGGGAAACAGGCCCCACATCTCCTGGGTTCCACTTAGAAGTAAAGGTGCAGTCTGGGACCACCAAATGGTGTGGTGTTTATGTCACTGGACTCCTACATGGTCGACCGCACTTCGGGTTCCAGGCCCCGTGGCTTGAAACTCATGACAGGTGCATGTGCGTGTTATGTCCAAAATCCAGAATGGAGAAGGGATTGTGGAGTGGCCATCCTCCCTGGGGGGTAATTTTTCGTTTTCTGTCTCTCTGGCAAGCACATGCATCCTATAGCAAAAACCTCTCAAAAAACAAAAAGTAAGGTTGAGGTCATTTGAATTACAGCCCCAAAGATGCCCACATCCTAATCACCAGGACCTGTGGCTATGTTCCCTGACATGCCAGCAGAGGCTTTGCAGAAGTGATGACGTTAAGGATCCTGGCATACCTAGTGAAAATCACAAGGGTCTTATGAGAGGCAGCAGGGCCAGAGTCAGAGAGGGCCACGTGACGACAGAGATGGGAAGACGTGAAGCTGCTGGCTTCAAAGGAGAGGGAAGAGGCCAGGAGCCAGCAAATGTGAGTGGCTTCTAGAAACTGGAAAAGGCAAGAAAATGGACTCTCCCCTGAAGCTTCCAGAAGAACCAGACCCGTCACACCCTGACTTTAATCCAATGAGACTTATTTTGGACATCTGACTTCCAGAACTGTAAGATCGTACATTGGTGTTGTCTTAAACCACTCGGTCTGTGGTGAGTTGTTACAGCTGCGATAAGAAGATAACGTAAGTCTTTAACATGCGCTAGCCACAGCAGCCTCCTGCTACCAGTGGCCAACATTTACCGAGCACTTCCTGTGGACAGCACTGCTCTTAGCATGGTATAGAACTCCTTTACCCTCACAGCAATCTATGAGATGATCACTGTAATGACTCCTATGCCACATATAGAGAGTAAGACAGAGAGGTTGTCAGCCTGAGGCATCCAGCTCCGAGCCCACGCTCTGGGTCGCTAGAACACATTGTCTCTCTCCAAGTTGATAACTGCCAACGCTGCAGGGAAGTACCCAATCCTGCTTTAGAGATCCTCTCTTAGGAAACTTACAAGACCTCTGTGATTAACTTTAAGTGAGATTTTTGCTATAGGGCACGTGCACTTGCCAAAGAGACAAAGACAGAGAGACAGAAAGTGAAAAATCATCCCCCAGGGGAATGGCCACGCTGCAATTCCTTCTCCATTTTCCTCCTTGGATCTCAGGCACGCCCACGCACATGCCCAGAATGAGTCTGAATCCACTGGGTCTAGGACTTGAACTGCAGTCAGCCAATGTGGGAGTCCAGCAATATAACCACTATGCCATCAACTGGTCATTCCTTTTTTTTTTTTTGAGAGATTTTTGCTATAAGGCTTGTGCACTTACTGGAGAGAGAGAGAGAGACAGAGAGACAGAAAGTGAGAAATTTCCCCCCAGTGGGAATGGCCACACAGCAATCGCTTCTCCTCCACTCTCCTCTCGGGATTTTAGGCACACATGCACACACACCCAGCTAGAGTTTTAAGCTGCCAGATCTGGATGCAAACAGCAGTTGACTATGTGGAAGTCCAGCAATGTAACCATTTCGCCATCTGCTGGTCCCAATTAACGAATTTTTAATCAGATCTCTACTAAACATAATCAATACCAAGGAAGTGAAGTTGAAGTGATTATAACCACCAATTGCAAATCCAGAAGTATCCAACACAACCCCATTTTTCCTCCAAACCACCTGCTTTCTCCAGAGGGGGAATATGGCCCCCCACTCCCTAACAGCACATTTCTAGACTTTCCATGCCAAGGCTTTCTGGGAGACTAAGTCCTCTTTGAAGGCCACCTTCAGAACATCTCCCTGGAACAAAGCAACTGCATAAACACCCTGCAGAGCCCCTTCCTCCACCAGGGAGCTCCCACTGCAGATGCCTACCCCTCCCACTGCAGATGCCTACCCCTCGCAACGCTTCCACTACAGGACAGTCTGCCCAAGCAGTCTCTCAGTGCTCCCCGGTACTCCCTGCACACCCTCCTCCCGAGTCCTTGCTCTGCAGTTCTGTTTGTACTCTCTCTCACCCAGGCACCCTGCCCTACATGGCCCTTGACATTCATAAAGTCCACATTTGACACTTTCCTCCATATCTCTGATCCTCAAAAAACAGAGTTCCCAGTTCAGTCACGACTTCCGTGACTTCCTTGCGCACAGTGAAGTGGAGAACTGTGTCAAACAGCAACAGAAACCAGAGAGCCATCTTCAAATGGCAGGAAGGGCCATGCCGTGAGAGCCTAGGAGAGTCTCATGCCAGATGCCTTTCTGGGCATGGACTTGTTTGTTCAGAGATAACCCGTGTGCCAGGCCCTGCTCACAGGCCTCATGAACTTACCAGAACAGGAAAATGTTTTCCTATGAACAGAGAAACATAATATCGCCAGGGGGTGATATGTTCTAAGAAAAACTAAGTAAGCCCTAATAAGGGTGACAGAGCAGTCACAGTGCACCCAATGGAGACTTCAGGAGGGCACGACCAGCCAACATCCAGGAAAGCTGAGGGAGAGCGCCTCAGGGACAGTGAAGTCTGCGGTGGCCAGTGTGGCTGGAGCGGTGAGTGGTGGGGAGTGTGTGGAACGAGGTGAGAAAAGGGATGAGAGTGGGGAGGGCAGCGTCTCTACCCGGGTCGCACCACCAGGGGACACTGGGCTTACACGAGGCAGAACCACGGTTTGCTGAGTCGCTTCCTGACCCCGTCCTCCACCCTAGAGTGTGCCCACAGACCAAGAACTAAAGAACCTGTGCCAGCTGTGAGCTGCCGACCCGTACACCAGTAGGACCCACCGCAGAACAGCTCGACCAGCCGGGGCTGAACCCCGGAAACGTGCCCAGCTCTGGTCCCAACTCTAAGGCTCCAAAGATGAGACACTGACCCCTGCCCTCAGGGGACACTCGGTCTAACAAATCGGACGTTCAAATGAAAAAAGGCACAAAGTAGAGAAAGAGCTGGAGCTGAAAAATGTGCAAAGGAGCATCACTGGGTCTCCAGATGAACCTAGGACCCTTGGGCTGGACCCTGCAGGACAGCATCAAATAGTTGGGACCAGCAGATGGCACAATGGTTATATTGCTGGACTCCCATGTAGCTGACTGCAGTTCAAGTCCCAGATCTGACAGCTTAAAACTCATGCCAGGCACATGTGCATACCTGCCCAAAATCCCAAGAGAAGAATGGAGGAAAAGGGACTGCAGTGAGGTCATCTCCCCTGGGGGATGATTTCTTAATTTCTGTCTCTCTGTCTCTCTCTGTCTTTTCAGCTGGCACATGCACCTTACAGCAAAAATCTCTCTAGAAGAAAAAAAATTCAAAATGGCAGCGGATGGGACCAGCAGTTGACTGCGGTTCGAGTCCCAGACCCGGTAGCTTAAACTCACGCCAGGCGCGTGTGTGTGCATGCCCATGATCTCGAGAGGACAATGGAGTAGAAGTGATTGCAGTGTGGCCATCCCCCCGGGGGGTGATTTCTCACTTTCTGTCTCTGTATCTCTCTGTCTTTCTGGAGAGCACGCACACTCTCTAGCTAAAACCTCTCCAAAAAAAACAGCAGCGGATGAGCACCATAGACAAAGGGGTCTTACCTGTGAGAGACTATCGTGGGAGGCAGCTGCTTGTGATCTCCAGCCAGGATGCACTTTCTGGCCTGCAGCAGAGGGATCCAGCAGCTTGCTTCCAGGGCCTGGGCACACTCATCAATTATCACCAGGTCAAAGTAGCCCTCAGGCAGCAACTTCAAAGGGCCGTCAGCAGAAGCCCCTGGTCAAAAGAGAAAATGACAGGTCTTGACAGAAGCATTGTCTGTCTGATAACAGCTGCAGTCACACCCAACAGAGACACATAAGCCAGTTACTTCAAAATATAGTCTTGAATTAGAATTGTATGAGATAAATTTGTACCTTAGAGCAAAACATGGGAAGGACAAGTTTTAGTTCTAGTCAACCTGTGATTTAAGAATGAAGCACAAGGACCAGCAGTTGGTGTAATGGCTGTGTTGCTGGACTCCCATGTAGTTGGCCATGGTTCGAGTCCCAGACCCAGTGGCTTAAACTCGTGCCACGTGCATGTGTGTGCCTGCCCAAGATCCCGAGAGGAGAATGGAGGAGAAGGGATCATCCCTGGGGAGATGATTTCTCGCTTTCTGTCTCTCTGGCAAGTGCACGCGCCCTATAGCAAAAACCTCTCAAAAAAAAAGAAAAAAAAAGAATATACCTCTATTCCCATGGACTCTGAAGTACAAAGAGTGAAAATGGAATGGAAGAGAAATTGCAGATCAACTCTCTTGCACACCATTAAACGTTCAGATTGAACTTTAGGAATTAGGAAGAAATGCACCATCTATCAGATAACTAGAAATTACCGCAGGGTCACGAGAAATATAGAAAAACAAGAAAATACCTCTCCTCCAAGGAAAAATAACTCCTCTTCATCCTCAGAAAGTTCAATGAAATTTACAGAAATGTCAGATAAAGAATTTAGAATATTCATGACCAGCAGTTAACGTAATGGCTATGTCGCTGGACTCCCATGTAGTTGACCACAGTTCAAGTCCCGGACCTGGTGGCTTAAACTCACGCTGGGCGCATGTGCATACGTGCCCAAGATCCCAAGAGGAGAATGGAGGAGAAGGGATTGTGGCGTGGCCATCGCCCCTGGGGGATGACTTCTCGTTTTCTGTCTCTCTGTCTCTCTCTGTCTTTCTGGTGAGCATACATGCCCTAAAAAAAAAATAATAAAAAATAAAAAAGATAATTAAAACAAACAAAAGGAAACCAAAAAGCAAATTGAGTAGTATTTTGAAAAGAATGAAAATGAAAACATAACATATCGGAATTTGTGGAATGCCATTAAAGCAGTACTTTAGGAGATAATCTATAGAGTTTAATGCCATATCAGAAAACAGCCTCTAATCAACAATCTCAGCTTCCATCTTAAGGAACAAGAAAAAGAAGAAAAAAATCAAATCCAAATAAAGCAGAAAATTGGAAACAATGAATTTCAATGAGGAAATCATGAAATAGAAACAGAAAAATAATAGAGAAAATTCAAAGCTGGTTCTCTGGGAACATCTAGCCACAAGATCGGGGGGGAAAAAATAACATACAAATTACTAATATTAGCAATAAGAGGGGTGATATCACTATAGATTCTACAGATAATAAAATAATAATAAAGGAAAAGAACGATTTTATACCTCTCAATTGGACAACTTAGAAAGGCCAAATTTCTTTTCTTTTTTTTTTTTTTTTTTTTTGAGAGAGAGAGAGAGATTTTTTGCTATAGGGAGCATGCACTTGCCAGAGAGAGAGAGATAGAAAGTGAGAAATCACCACCCAGGGGAGATGGTCACACCAGAACCTTTTCCACCATTCTTCTCCCAGAATTTTGGGGATGCACACACACACGCCTGGCCTGAGTTTTAAGCCATTGGGTCCTAGACTCGAACTACATAACCATCACGCCGCCTGCTGGCCCCTAGAAAAGCCAAATTTCTTGGAGAGGTTTTTTGTTTTGTTTTGTTTTGTTTTTTGTTTTATTTTGTTTTGTTTTTTTTGCTATAGGGTGTATGTGCTTGCCAGACAGACAGAGACAGACAGAGAGATAGAAAGCGAGAAATCACCCCCCAGAGGGGATGGCCATGACTCAATCCCTTCTCCTCCATTCTCCTCTCAGGATCTTGGGCGCACACGCGCCCGGCATGGGTTTTAAGCCACCGGGTCCAGGACGTGAACCGCGGTCAACTACATGGGAGTCCAGCTACATAGCCATTACGCTAACTGCTGGTCCCCAGAAAAGCCAAATTTCTTAAAAGAGGAGTCAACAGGTAGCATGGAAATGAAGGTGCTAGATCCCACCTGTGTGGTCCGACTCCCAGACCCAGCAGCTTGAAATTACACCGGAGCTGTGCGCATGTGTGTCCAAAATCCCAGGAAGAGATGAGAGGAGAAGAGACTATGGTGTAGCCATCACCCTCCTATAACCTGCACTGTCCCCCTCACCCCCCCATCTCTTTCTGGTAAGTGTACATACTCTACAGCAAAAGCTTAAAAAAAAAATAAAAATAAATTTCTTAAAAGATACAAGCTTACCCAAGAAGAGATACCCTGAGTTGCTCTAGACGTATTAAAGGAATTTAATGTGTGGTTAAAACACCCCTACAGCGTCAGCCCTGTGGCACAGTGGTTAAGTACTGCATGAAGAGAAGATCTCACATAGCTGACTGCAGTTCAAATCCTGACTGTGGTGGCTTGAAAACAGGCCAGACATGTGTCTGCCCATGTGCCCAAAACCCTGATGTGAGGGATAAATGGAGGGAAAAAGGGACTGCAGCATGGCAAGCCCCACTGGGGAACCCTATCCTCTCTTTGTCTCTCGAACACAATCCTTAACAAAAGCAAGAACAAAAACAAAAAACTTCCCTTACAAAAAAAACTCCAGTGAATTTTTCCCAACATTTAAGGAAGAAGTAATACCAATTCGATATAAATTCTAGAAAACTGAAGAAGAGGAAATACCCCCCAACTGCTTCCAGGCCACACAGGCAGGATGGAGAGGCCCCTTTACCTGTATTTGTTGCAAGGACCACCTTGGCTGAAGTCAGGATTTCAAGCATAGCTGCTTCTTCCCTCTCTTTTAGTTCCTTTCTTAACAGCTTGATTTCATTTCGAAAATTACCTTTCTCTTTCTTATCCTGGGTCTTTCCCTTACAAAAAAAACTCCAGTGAATTTTTCCCAACATTTAAGGAAGAAGTAATACCAATTCAATAAAAATTCTAGAAAACTGAAGAAGAGGGAATACCCCCTAACTGCTTCCAGGCCACACAGGCAGGATGGAGAGGCCCCTTTACCTGTATTTGTTGCAAGGACCACCTTGGCTGAAGTCAGGATTTCAAGCATAGCTGCTTCTTCCCTCTCTTTTAGTTCCTTTCTTAACAGCTTGATTTCATTTCGAAAATTACCTTTCTCTTTCTTATCCTGGGTCTTTTTGTTTTTCGCCTATACAGGGAAGCAAAGAATATAGAATTACTGGGACCAGTAGATGGCATAATGGTTACTTTGCTAGACTTCCAGAGTCGACCGTGGTTGGAGACCCAGACCCAGTAGCTTAAAACTCACGCCAGGCACGTATGCATGTGTGCCCAAAATCCCAAGAGGAAAATGGAGGAGAAGAGATTATGGCATGGTCATATGCGTGGGGAATGATTTCTTGCTTTCTACCTCTCTCTGTTTCTCTGGCGAACGTATGTGCCCTATAGTAAAAATGTCTCTAAAAAAAGAAAATACAATTACTTTAACAGGACTCTGTATTTCTCTGGTTCTTCCAAGTTTATAAGGTGCTTTTATTAATGATGAGCCTAGTTCAGAAAGCTCCTTAAAAAGCATCGAAGTGTCAAAAATCTTAGTCAGAGATGCGCACAAGTGACTAAGCACCTACATTGTAACTTGCCTGAAACTTTTTGTCATCCACACAGGGAGAGTAAGAAAGGGAATGTTTATTTCCTAGAAGGAGATGGGGTTTTTTTGTTGTTTTGGGTTTTTTTAAGAATTATTTTACTTAACTTTAGTTATTTATTTATTTATTTTCATTTGGCCAGAGAAGAAGAGAGAGAGAGAAAGAGAGAGCAAACGAGCCCAGGACTCGAACTGCAGTCAGCCATGTGCCACCTGCCAGTCCCATTTTTTTTAGAAGAATTATTTTATTTAACTTTATTTATTTATTTTAATTTGACCAGAGAGGAACAACATGAGAAAGAAGGAGAGGGAAAGGGAGAAAGGAAGCTGCCAGGTCCAGGACTCAAACTGGGGTCAGCCAGGTGGGAGTTCAGTGCCCTTAACCACCATGCCACCTGCCAGCCCTAGGAGACAAGGGTTTTAACTGTAAACTCAGATGAAGCCAGAAATTGAATCAGAAATCCTGCACAGAGTCAGCTGATAGCCTCTTGGGTAAGGAAAAGTCTGCCCATCTCAGAATTCAGGTTCTAATAGCTTATCAGTGGAGAGGCTAAGCTTCACTTACTATTCCACATTCTTCAAGAGATTAAAATTTTTTAGTCCATAAAATGCTTATCTAGCTCCTTTTGGCCGGAACCGCCATCTTCTAGTAATTAACCAAAATGACGAACACAAAGGGAAACAGGCGAGGACCGCGATATATGTTCTCTAG